GAAGAAAAAAATTTCAAAAATAAAAACAAAAACTTAAAGCAATTCTCTTTTTCCTCTCTGCAACTTCTCCGGACGTCTTTCCCTTTGATCTGCCGTTCGTCGCCGAACGTCTTTTCCCAATTGATCTCCGATGTATCCTTCATCGGCGACCACGCTTCTCTATTACTTTCTCTCTCCAAAAGGTGTCGATTCATATCTCTCCTTTTCATCGTGCTTCTCTCCTCTCATGCCTTCGACGATTCCCCTGTTTCAACGAACAGTTCTTCCAATCCTCATCTTCAGAGTGAAATCGAACCCCAGGCGATGTTCGCAGAGATCCTCGTGATTTCTTCAAGCTGGGCGCGGGAGATGGGCGTGCCTTCCGTTGTGGAGGCGGTGGAGACGGGATCTTCGAAGCGAAGAAGAAGGGCTGGAGAGGATCCAAGAGAGAGAGAGAGAGAGAGAGAGAGAAAGCAAGCGGAAGAGAGGGAAAATCAGGCAACGAGTTTTCCCATCTCCAGATCCGCGTCACATCTCCATAGGTCGTCGATTCATTTTCAGATCTATCTTTCCTCGCCGAAAAATTCATCTCCATAGGTCGGCAATTCGTTTTCAAATCTATCTATCCTCTGCGGTGGCTCGTTGCCTCTCCAATCCCTTGCACACTGTCACCAACCACCTTCCCTCCACCTTCATCACTCTCATTTCTTGGTGGAGCTTGCGTCGTTGCTGTGGCAAGATGAATCCAGAACCACAGCTTCAGGCAGCCATCTCCTCTCCGGCGATGTGAGACTGTCGCGATTCTCAACGGCGGATGGATCTGAGGGAAATGGATGGGTATAAGGGAAGAGGGTGATCGATCTGAGATTTTCGGCTTTTTAATTTTTAATTTTTGTATGTTTAGTTGTTATTTAATTTAAATAAAAAATATGAGGTGTCAATGACTTGGCATTGCCATGTCGGCAAAACTCAATGTTAAGTTGACCACCGTTTGGTCAACCGTTATCTTTAACGGTCAACGAAATTGTCAGGATACAAATGGCATAAAGTATAATAGTTCAGGACACAGATGGAATATTGGAAACTAGGGCTGGGCATATGGGCGGATCATCCGCGGGTTTGGGCCGACCCACCCGCATTTGACCCGAATTTCGTTAAATGGGTGGGTCTATGGGTGGGTGACGGGTTCCGCTGGGAGCCATCCGCCGGGTGGTGGGTGGGTTGTGGGTGGGTGCGCGGGTGACCCGCTCAACCCAACAACAAAAAGATCAAAGTCGTCGGCGCTAGAGAGGGGAGAGTGGAGATGTTAGACATAAACTAGGACTGCTCCTGGAGTTTGAACTTCAAAGCCAACCTTCCAAATAGCGATCCCCTCTTCTTCCCTTTATTTTCCCCTCTAATTCTTGTGCCTAGATCACTGCTCTTTCCTTTGTGGAATTATTTTTCTTAGTTCCTTGCACCTGATAATCATCTCAATCTGTAGAAAACTCTTTCATAATAGAATTTCTATCCATTTTAAGAACTAATTCGATATTTTTCGCCCTATTTCATCTTCTTGTTTCCCCATATAACTCTCTTCGCCTATTATCATGTCAAGTTGACTCCTTTATATTATATACATTGTGATGTGGGTGAACCCACAAACCCACCCAAATCATCCACCATCCGCCCGACCCAACCCGAGAGTAAATGTGGGTGGGTGGTGGGTTAAAATTATCAATCCGTTTAAGCACGGGTGGGTGCATTTTATGGTCAAAATCCACCCGACCCACCCAATGCCCACCCCTATTGGAAACAATAGGACACAAGTGGCATTTTCCGGATAGTTCGGGTGTTGTAGTGGTATTAGCCCTAAACTCATTTATAAGTTGTAACAAAAGACAATTAAGAATTTTCACCCATACAAAAAGAAACAACCTAGTTGTCTTCACACAAATGAATTTACCGACCACGTGAATTAATTAACAAAGCACTTGTTGGACTATCTATTTTGCTCAGTGTTATTAAAGCGGAGCCGAGCTGTTCGGTCCGACGGGTAAAACCGCCACTCGGTCAAATGTATCATATTGTCGGTGATTTACCATTAAAATATAATTTTTATTATTAATGTCATGAAAAGAATACCCATTTAGTGAACTGATAGCATCGTATTTGCACGTGTTTTCACTCTGGTTTCCTGTCCATTTTAGCTCGAATTGATTGTTCCTTGGCCTATTTTACGCTAGGTTGTGCTGTTTTGTCGTATTTCAGGTCCTAGCAAGTAAAGAGGTGCATAGGCGCAAGTTTCGGGTCATTTGGAGGTCAGATGGCGATTCACAGGACAAATTACGGGCAGCCCCTGCCAAATTACGACCGTAATTGGTCAGGGCATGCCCGTAAAACCATTGCCGAGCCTCTTTTCCGAAGAATTCTTCTCGGCAGTAAAATTACGGGCAAGCATCCATATAATTACGACCGTAATTACTGAAATACTGGCGGTAATTGTGGAATTATGGGCGTAAATCCTCCTCCATCAGAGTAAAGTGAAACGTGCGTTTTGGGCGATTTACGGGCAGACAGTGATTACGGCCGTAATTCTGCCCGTATTTCGCCCAGAGTCGGGTTTTTGGAGGTAGATTCGAGCCAAGGAAGATTGATTCGAGTTTTTAGAGCAAAAACAGAGTTTTAGAGAGAGAAAGAGCGAAGAACAAACCCTAGGAGCTATTTGGAGTGGATTTCTCACCATTGAAGCCTAGATTGCGTCCCCAGGAGTGAAGATTGACATCCCAGAGCAGATTTTCCTCATCTTTATGAGTATGACTACTCTGATTTCTGTTTTCCTTTCTCTCTCTATGGAGTAGAACCTTTCTTTCACTTGGGTATGAAGAACCCTAGTTCCTTGTGTTAGGGATTTGATTGTAATGACTTGGGATGATTATACTGTTTGGTTTTAATCGAATGATGCATGTTTATTGAATTGATTGAAGTCTGATCAGCTTTTCTTGATTTCTGCTGCAACCTGAGATAGATAGAATCTGATTAGGTTGTTAGAGCCACTTTATTCGATAGTAGGAGATTGGTTATACGAGAGTTAGCTAGTTTACTGCTTTGTACTGGAATTCAATTCCAGTAGTGGAGTTCTGTGTTCATAGCCTCAGCTTTCTATCCCGGTGAAGACTAGTCGTCTGCCGGGTAGTTAGACTGAGAGGGCTTGGTCAGCTTAAGAGATTCCAAGCTACTGTTGGATCTTCCGCAGTCTAATCGACAGTGAACCAACCCAGGGTAATTGCAATTGAACCTAATTAAGGAGCTAGGGGGACTCATTCCTGAGTGACTCTTTCCTGCTTTTGAAAATCGAACCGATTCCTGCTTTCTTACTGCTTTTGCTTTAAACAACAATCACTCGACTTAGTTGGCTAGATAATAGATAATCACGGAGTAAGCAGTAGATCTAGACCCCGGGTTGATAATAGAACTTGCCTGTTACTGCATTCCCGGACTGTGATTACACTTGGTCGCAGTTTGGTGTTGTGTTTTGGCGTGTCAAGTTTTTGGCGCCGTTGCCGGGGAACCTCTAGGTTATTGGGGAAACGTGAGAATTTGTTACTCTAGCTTTTTCTTTATTGCATTTTTTCTCTTCCACCTGTGTGCCTTCACGGGTTGCTTCTGCTGATTGTGTGCAGGTAGTGCATGACCCGTAGCTAGTCGGGAGATCTACTACCATTAGACCAGGAGCTTGAACGAACTTGCAGGAACTTCAAGCGGGCTCTAAAGGCGCGACTGGCTGCGGAGGAGGCGCTGTCACAGCTGCAGATCGAAGAAGAAGAAGAGATGGCTGATCCACAGAACCATGATGTGATCAATCCAGAGGAGCAGACCATGGGATCCTACTGGACCGCTAGAGCTGCGGACATGAGGTCACCCATTCAACACCCTCATGTCCCAGCCAACAATTTTGAGGTGAGCACCTCAGTAATCACCATGTTGCGCGGTTCAGTGGTGTTCCGTGGTAAGGAGGGGGAGTGCCCCCGATCACATCTCAGGCGATTCCACGAGCTCATCGATGGAATCAAGATCAATGGGGTACCAGCAGACGCCATCCAGCTGAGGTATTTCCCATTCACTTTGGAGGGGAAAGCCAAGGAGTGGCTAGACACTCGACCCCCGGGCTCTATCACCACGTTCGCCAACCTGGTGGACAAGTTCCTCACCCGCTACCATCCTCCATCCAACACGGCTGACCTGCAGAAGCAAATTACCCATTTTGCTCAGGATGAGGATGAGACCATCAGGGATGCTTGGGAGAGATACACCAGTCTCTTCCTCAGGTGTCCCAATCATGGTTTCAATGATGCTTTCAAGGTGGGCACCTTCTATCACGCCCTCTTCCCGGAGGACAAGCAGCTGATTGACTCGGTTTGTGGCGGGAACATGCTAACCAAAACACCGCCACAGCTGAATCAACTCTTTGAGGAGATGGCGGAGAACGGGTACGATTGGGGCACTGCCAGGAGATCGAGACGAGCACCAGGATGGGGTGTGCATGTTGTGGGCACCCAGTCATCTGACTTGGTGCAGGTGGTATCGAAGCTGGTTTCAGCTATCGATCGTTCTGGTTTGATTGCAGGTACAGGATAGCCGCAGGCGATGCACTGCCAGTGGTGTGAGAGCTCCCATCACACCGTGGAGGACTGTCAAGCGATGAAGGAATCGTCTACTTTCTCTCTCCAAAAGGTGTCGATTCATATCTCTCCTTTTCATCGTGCTTCTCTCCTCTCATGCCTTCGACGATTCCCCTGTTTCAACGAACAGTTCTTCCAATCCTCATCTTCAGAGTGAAATCGAACCCCAGGCGATGTTCGCAGAGATCCTCGTGATTTCTTCAAGCTGGGCGCGGGAGATGGGCGTGCCCTCCATTGTGGAGGCGGTGGAGACGGGATCTTCGAAGCGAAGAAGAAGGGGCTGGAGAGGATCCAAGAGAGAGAGAGAGAGAGAGAGAGAGAGAGAGAGAGAGAGAAAGCAAGCGGAAGAGACGGAAAATCAGGCGACGAGTTTTCCCATCTCCAGATCCGCGTCACATCTCCATAGGTCGTCGATTCATTTTCAGATCTATCTTTCCCCGCCGAAAAATTCATCTCCATAGGTCGGCGATTCGTTTTCAAATCTATCTATCCTCTGCGGTGGCTCGTTGCCTCTCCAATCCCTTGCACACTGTCACCAACCACCTTCCCTCCACCTTCATCACTCTCATTTCTTGGTGGAGCTTGCGTCGTTGCTGTGGCAAGAGGAATCCAGAACCACAGCTTCAGGCAGCCATCTCCTCTCTGGCGATGTGAGACTGTCGCGATTCTCAATGGCGGATGGATATGAGGGAAATGGATGGGTATTAGGGAAGAGGGTGATCGATCTGAGATTTTCGGCTTTTTAATTTTTAATTTTTGTATGTTTAGTTGTTATTTAATTTAAATAAAAAATATGAGGTGTCAATAACTTGGCATTGCCACGTCGGCAAAACTCAATGTTAAGTTGACCACCGTTTGGTCAACCGTTATCTTTAACGGTCAACGAAATTGTCAGGATACAAATGGCATAAAGTATAATAGTTCAGGACACAGATGGAATATTGGAAACAATAGAACACAAGTGGCATTTTCCGGATAGTTCGGGTGTTGTAGTGGTATTAGCCCTAAACTTATTTATAAGTTGTAACAAAAGAAAATTAAGAATTTTCACCCATACAAAAAGAAACAACCTAGTTGTCTTCACACAAATGAATTTACCGACCACGTGAATTAATTAACAAAGCACTTGTTGGACTATCTATTTTGCTCAGTGTTATTAAAGCGGAGCCGAGCTGTTCGGTCCGACGGGTAAAACCGCCACTCGGTCAAATGTATCATATTGTCGGTGATTTACCATTAAAATATAATTTTTATTATTAATGTCATGAATAGAATACCCATTTAGTGAACTGATAGCATCGTATTTGCACGTGTTTTCACTCTGGTTTCCTGTCCATTTTAGCTCGAATTGATTGTTCCTTGGCCTATTTTACGCTAGGTTGTGCTGTTTTGTCGTATTTCAGGTCCTAGCAAGTAAAGAGGTGCATAGGCGCAAGTTTCGGGTCATTTGGAGGTCAGATGGCGATTCACAGGACAAATTACGGGCAGCCCCTGCCAAATTACGACCGTAATTGGTCAGGGCATGCCCGTAAAACCATTGCCGAGCCTCTTTTCCCAAGAATTCTTCTCGGCAGTAAAATTACGGGCAAGCATCCATATAATTACGACCGTAATTACTGAAATACTGGCGGTAATTGTGGAATTACGGGCGTAAATCCTCCTCCATCAGAGTAAAGTGAAACGTGCGTTTTGGGCGATTTACGGGCAGACAGTGATTACGGCCGTAATTCTGCCCGTATTTCGCCCAGAATCGGGTTTTTGGAGGCAGATTCGAGCCAAGGAAGATTGATTCAAGTTTTTAGAGCAAAAACAGAGTTTTAGAGAGAGAAAGAGCGAAGAACAAACCCTAGGAGCTATTTGGAGTGGATTTCTCACCATTGAAGCCCAGATTGCGTCCCCAGGAGTGAAGATTGACATCCCAGAGCAGATTTTCCTCATCTTTATGAGTATGACTACTCTGATTTCTGTTTTCCTTTCTCTCTCTATGGAGTAGAACCTTTCTCTCACTTGGGTATGAAGAACCCTAGTTCCTTGTGTTAGGGATTTGATTGTAATGACTTGGGATGATTATACTGTTTGGTTTTAATCGAATGATGCATGTTTATTGAATTGATTGAAGTCTGATCAGCTTTTCTTGATTTCTGCTGCAACCTGAGATAGATAGAATCTGATTAGGTTGTTAGAGCCTCTTTATTCGATAGTAGGAGATTGGTTATACGAGAGTTAGCTAGTTTACTGCTTTGTACTGGAATTCAATTCCAGTAGTGGAGTTCTGTGTTCATAGCCTCAGCTTTCTATCCCGGTGAAGACTAGTCGTCTGCCGGGTAGTTAGACTGAGAGGGCTTGGTCAGCTTAAGAGATTCCAAGCTACTGTTGGATCTTCCGCAGTCTAATCGACAGTGAATCAACCCAGGGTAATTGCAATTGAACCTAATTAAGGAGCTAGGGGGACTTATTCCTGAGTGACTCTTTCCTGCTTTTGAAAACCGAACCGATTCCTGCTTTCTTACTGCTTTTGCTTTAAACAACAATCACTCGACTTAGTTGGCTAGATAATAGATAATCACGGAGTAAGCAGTAGATCTAGACCCCGGGTTGATAATAGAACTTGCCTGTTACTGCATTCCCGGACTGTGATTACACTTGGTCGTAGTTTGGTGTTGTGTTTTGGCGTGTCAAGTTTTTGGCGCCGTTGCCGGGGAACCTCTAGGTTATTGGGGAAACGTGAGAATTTGTTACTCTAGCTTTTTCTTTATTGCATTTTTTCTCTTCCACCTGTGTGCCTTCACGGGTTGCTTCTGCTGATTGTGTGCAGGTAGTGCATGACCCGTAGCTAGTCGGGAGATCTACTACCATTAGACCAAGAGCTTGAACGAACTTGCAGGAACTTCAAGCGGGCTCTAAAGGCGCGACTGGCTGCGGAGGAGGCGCTATCACAGCTGCAGATCGAAGAAGAAGAAGAAGAGATGGCTGATCCACAGAACCATGATGTGATCAATCCAGAGGAGCAGACCATGGGATCCTACTGGACCGCTAGAGCTGCGGACATGAGGTCACCCATTCAACACCCTCATGTCCCAGCCAACAATTTTGAGGTGAGCACCTCAGTAATCACCATGTTGCGCGGTTCAGTGGTGTTCCGTGGTAAGGAGGGGGAGTGCCCCCGATCACATCTCAGGCGATTCCACGAGCTCATCGATGGAATCAAGATCAATGGAGTACCAGCAGACGCCATCCAGCTGAGGTATTTCCCATTCACTCTGGAGGGGCAAGCCAAGGAGTGGCTAGACACTCGACCCCCGGGCTCTATCACCACGTTCGCCAACCTGGCGGACAAGTTTCTCACCCGCTACCATCCTCCATCCAAGACGGCTGACCTGCAGAAGCAAATTACCCATTTTGCTCAGGATGAGGATGAGACCATCAGGGATGCTTGGGAGAGATACACCAGTCTCTTCCTCAGGTGTCCCAATCATGGTTTCAATGATGCTTTCAAGGTGGGCACCTTCTATCACGCCCTCTTCCCGGAGGACAAGCAGCTGATTGACTCGGTTTGTGGCGGGAACATGCTGACCAAAACACCGCCACAGCTGAATCAACTCTTTGAGGAGATGGCGGAGAACGGGTACGATTGGGGCACTGCCAGGAGATCGAGACGAGCACCAGGATGGGGTGTGCATGCTGTGGGCACCCAGTCATCTGACTTGGTGCAGGTGGTATCGAAGCTGGTTTCAGCTATCGATCGTTCTGGTTTGATTGCAGGTACAGGATAGCCGCAGGCGATGCACTGCCAGTGGTGTGAGAGCTCCCATCACACCGTGGAGGACTGTCAAGCGATGAAGGAATCGTCTACTTTCTCTCTCCAAAAGGTGTTGATTCATATCTCTCCTTTTCATCGTGCTTCTCTCCTCTCATGCCTTCGACGATTCCCCTGTTTCAACGAACAGTTCTTCCAATCCTCATCTTCAGAGTGAAATCGAACCCCAGGCGATGTTCGCAGAGATCCTCGTGATTTCTTCAAGCTGGGCACGGGAGATGGGCGTGCCCTCCGTTGTGGAGGCGGTGGAGACGGGATCTTCGAAGCGAAGAAGAAGGGGCTGGAGAGGATCCAAGAGAGAGAGAGAGAGAGAGAGAGAAAGCAAGCGGAAGAGACGGAAAATCAGGCGACGAGTTTTCCCATCTCCAGATCCGCGTCACATCTCCATAGGTCGTCGATTCATTTTCAGATCTATCTTTCCCCGCCGAAAAATTCATCTCCATAGGTCGGCGATTCGTTTTCAAATCTATCTATCCTCTGCGGTGGCTCGTTGCCTCTCCAATCCCTTGCACACTGTCACCAACCACCTTCCCTCCACCTTCATCACTCTCATTTCTTGGTGGAGCTTGCGTCGTTGCTGTGGCAAGAGGAATCCAGAACCACAGCTTCAGGCAGCCATCTCCTCTCTGGCGATGTGAGACTGTCGCGATTCTCAACGGCGGATGGATATGAGGGAAATGAATGGGTATTAGGGAAGAGGGTGATCGATCTGAGATTTTCGGCTTTTTAATTTTTGTATGTTTAGTTCTTATTTAATTTAAATAAAAAATATGAGGTGTCAATGACTTGGCATTGCCACGTCGGAAAAACTCAATGTTAAGTTGACCACCGTTTGGTCAACCGTTATCTTTAACGGTCAACGAAATTGTCAGGATACAAATGGCATAAAGTATAATAGTTCAGGACACAGATGGAATATTGGAAACAATAGGACACAAGTGGCATTTTCCCGATAGTTCGGGTGTTGTAGTGGTATTAGCCCTAAACTTATTTATAAGTTGTAACAAAAGAAAATTAAGAATTTTCACCCATACAAAAAGAAACAACCTAGTTGTCTTCACACAAATGAATTTACCGACCACGTGAATTAATTAACAAAGCACTTGTTGGACTATCTATTTTGCTCAGTGTTATTAAAGCGGAGCCGAGCTGTTCGGTCCGACGGGTAAAACCGCCACTCAGTCAAATGTATCATATTGTCGGTGATTTACCATTAAAATATAATTTTTATTATTAATGTCATGAAAAGAATACCCATTTAGTGAACTGATAGCATCGTATTTGCACGTGTTTTCACTCTGGTTTCCTGTCCATTTTAGCTCGAATTGATTGTTCCTTGGCCTATTTTACGCTAGGTTGTGCTGTTTTGTCGTATTTCAGGTCCTAGCAAGTAAAGAGGTGCATAGGCGCAAGTTTCGGGTCATTTGGAGGTCAGATGGCGATTCACAGGACAAATTACGGGCAGCCCCTGCCAAATTACGACCGTAATTGGTCAGGGCATGCCCGTAAAACCATTGCCGAGCCTCTTTTCCCAAGAATTCTTCTCGGCAGTAAAATTACGGGCAAGCATCCATATAATTACGACCGTAATTACTGAAATACTGGCGGTAATTGTGGAATTACGGGCGTAAATCCTCCTCCATCAGAGTAAAGTGAAACGTGCGTTTTGGGCGATTTACGGGCAGACAGTGATTACGGCCGTAATTCTGCCCGTATTTCGCCCAGAGTCGGGTTTTTGGAGGCAGATTCGAGCCAAGGAAGATTGATTCGAGTTTTTAGAGCAAAAACAGAGTTTTAGAGAGAGAAAGAGCGAAGAACAAACCCTAGGAGCTATTTGGAGTGGATTTCTCACCATTGAAGCCCAGATTGCGTCCCCAGGAGTGAAGATTGACATCCCAGAGCAGATTTTCCTCATCTTTATGAGTATGACTACTCTGATTTCTGTTTTCCTTTCTCTCTCTATGGAGTAGAACCTTTCTCTCACTTGGGTATGAAGAACCCTAGTTCCTTGTGTTAGGGATTTGATTGTAATGACTTGGGATGATTATACTGTTTGGTTTTAATCGAATGATGCATGTTTATTGAATTGATTGAAGTCTGATCAGCTTTTCTTGATTTCTGCTGCAACCTGAGATAGATAGAATCTGATTAGGTTGTTAGAGCCTCTTTATTCGATAGTAGGAGATTGGTTATACGAGAGTTAGCTAGTTTACTGCTTTGTATTGGAATTCAATTCCAGTATTGGAGTTCTGTGTTCATAGCCTCAGCTTTCTATCCCGGTGAAGACTAGTCGTCTGCCGGGTAGTTAGATTGAGAGGGCTTGGTCAGCTTAAGAGATTCCAAGCTACTGTTGGATCTTCCGCAGTCTAATCAACAGTGAATCAACCCAGGGTAATTACAATTGAACCTAATTAAGGAGCTAGGGGGACTCATTCCTGAGTGACTCTTTCCTGCTTTTGAAAACCGAACCAATTCCTGCTTTCTTACTGCTTTTGCTTTAATCAACAATCACTTGACTTAGTTGGCTAGATAATAGATAATCACGGAGTAAGCAGTAGATCTAGACCCCGGGTTGATAATAGAACTTGCCTGTTACTACATTCCCGGACTGTGATTACACTTGGTCGCAGATTGGTGTTGTGTTTTGGCGTGTCAAGTTTTTGGCGCCGTTGCTGGGGAACCTCTAGGTTATTGGGGAAACGTGAGAATTTGTTACTCTAGCTTTTTCTTTATTGCATTTTTTCTCTTCCACCTGTGTGCCTTCACGGGTTGCTTCTGCTGATTGTGTGCAGGTAGTGCATGACCCGTAGCTAGTCGGGAGATCTTTAACGAACCTGCAGGAACTTCAAGCAGGCTCTAAAGGCGTGAGTGGCTGCGGAGGAGGCGCTATCACAGCTGCAGATTGAAGAAGAAGAAGAGATGGCTGATCCACAGAACCATGATGTGATCAATCCAGAGGAGCAGACCATGGGATCCTACTGGACCGCTAGAGCTGCGGACATGAGGTCACCCATTCAACACCCTCATGTCCCAGCCAACAATTTTGAGGTGAGCACCTCAGTAATCACCATGTTGCGCGGTTCAGTGGTGTTCCGTGGTAAGGAGGGGGAGTGCCCCCGATCACATCTCAGGCGATTCCACGAGCTCATCGATGGAATCAAGATCAATGGGTTACCAGTAGACGCCATCCAGCTGAGGTATTTCCCATTCACTCTGGAGGGGCAAGCCAAGGAGTGGCTAGACACTCGACCCCCGGGCTCTATCACCATGTTCGCCAACCTGGCGGACAAGTTCCTCACACGCTACCATCCTCCATCCAAGACGGATGACCTGCAGAAGCAAATTACCCATTTTGCTCAGGATGAGGATGAGACCATCAGGGATTCTTGGGAGAGATACACCAGTCTCTTCCTCAGGTGACCCAATCATGGTTTCAATGATGCTTTCAAGGTGGGCACCTTCTATCACACCCTCTTCCCGGAGGACAAGCAGCTGATTGACTCGGTTTGTGGCGGGAACATGCTGACCAAAACACCGCCACAGCTGAATCAACTCTTTGAGGAGATGGCGGAGAAAGGGTACGATTGGGGCACTGCCAGGAGATCGAAACGAGCACCAGGACGGGGTGTGCATGCTGTGGGCACCCAGTCATCTGACTTGGTGCAGGTGGTATCGAAGCTGGTTTCAGCTATCGATCGTTATGGTTTGATTGCAGGTACAGGACAGCCGCAGGCGATGCATAGCCAGTGGTGTGAGAGCTCCCATCACAACGTGGAGGACTGTCAGGCGATGAGGGAATCGTCTACTCCCCAGGAGCAGGTGGACTTCATCGGTAATGCCAGGCGCTTCGACCCCTACAGCAATACCTATAACGAGGGGTGGCGCCAACATCCTAACTTTTCTTGGGCTGGGGAAAATCCAAAACCACCAGCTCCCCAGGGACCACCTGGTTTCCAGAGGCCTCCGTACCAGCCCAGACAAGGGCAATTTCAGCAGCCATAGTAGCCACTCTACTAGCCCAGACAGGGGCCAGTTCCACCTCAGTCACAGGTGCGACCATTTCAGCAGACAGGGGCAGCACCTACAGCCCAAGTACAGAGTGACCAGATGGCGGAATTGAGAGATTTGGTGGGTTTTCTGGCCACCTCTAGTGCAAATAAGTTCAATAACATTGAGCAATTTATGGAGAAAGCTTCAGGCAAATTCTTGGAGCTAGAAGCTGGTCAGAGAAACACGCAGGCTGTGCTGCGGGATATACAGATAAAACTTGGGAGCGTTGCCCAAGCTGTAGCTCAGAGGACTCCTGGTACCTTGCCTGGTCAGACCATTCCTCACCTGCAAGACCCGAATGCCAACTGTAGTGCCATCACAACCAGGAGTGGCAAGGTGACTGCCGATCCACCTGTTCGGGCAGAGGAGAGAGAGACCCCTGCTTCAGCACTTCCAGCTAATCAGGAAGAAATGGAGAAGGAGGTTGAGGTGCATACTCCTAAACCGCAACCAGTGGAGACTGAGTTTGCCAAATTCATGGCAATGCTGAAGCAGGTAAACATTAGCATGCCCTTCGTGGAGGCATTATCGAAGATGCCCAAGTATGCCAAATTCATGAAGGATCTCCTCACCAACAAGAGGAAGCTTGGGGAGCTGTCAACGGTGATGCTCAACGAGGAATGTTCTGCCATCCTGCAGAACAAACTACCAGAGAAGCGAAAAGACCCAGGGAGTTTCACTATCCCTTGCCTGATTGGTAGTTTGCATGTAGGGAAGTCCTTGGCGGATTTAGGCGCTAGCATAAATGTCATGCCATATAAACTGTTTAAAAAGCTAGGCCTAGGTGAACCCAGTGATACTAGGATGAGCATCAAGCTTGCTGATAGATCCATTGTGCATCCTAGGGGTATAGCAGAGGACTTTATAGTCGCAGTAGGGCCATTTTCATATCCTGTTGATTTTGTGATTTTAGACATAAATGAGGATGTTGATGTGCCATTGATACTGGGTAGACCTTTTCTCGCCACCGCCAAGGAGCTTATTGATGTGAATGATGGAAAACTGATTTTGAGAGCTGGGGGTGAACAAATCACCTTCTATGTTTATGATAATATGAAACACCCCCAGCTCCATGATGATCTAGATTACTGTGATGTTGTTGCTGATTTTGAGACCGCACTCGCCATCACAGGATGTGCAGCTGGAGGAGCAGCTTGCGGAGCTGGACGAGGCTGCGATCGAGGGGCGAGAGAATCCATTCAAGCCGATCCCCATCTCGGCCCGGATCGCTACATCATTAGAGGAGCCACCATAGTTGGAGCTTAAACCCCTCCCATCTCACCTGGAGTATGCATTTCTCCGGGAGGGGAATAAGCTCTTGGTTATTATTAGCTCGGATCTGACACCCGAGCAGAAGAGCAGGCTGGTGGCTCTGCTACAGAAGTATGCACGGGCCATGGCATGGAAGATCACAGACATCAGAGGCATTAGCCCATCCTTCTGCTCCCACAGAATTTTGATGGAGAATGAGGTTAAGCCAGTCAGGCAGCCACAGAGGAGATTGTCTCCTAACTTGGAGGCAGTGGTCCGGGCAGAGATTGTGAAGCTCATGGATGCAGGGATCATCTTTGCTATATCTGATAGCAAGTGGGTCAGCCCCACTCAGGTGGTCCCGAAGAAAGGCGGGATGATTGTGGTCCCGAATGAGAAGAAAGAGCTGATCCCGATGCG